AGAAGTCTGATTTTTCATTTCTGCATCTCAAAGATTAATATGTTAGGAATTTTTTTGTCTTTTTTTTCCTGTGGAATTTTTGTCACAAAACAAAGATCAAAGAACCTAGGTTCGAATCTCGGATCTGCTGTTTAATCTCGGATCTGCTGTTTACCTAGTTTTGTAATTATGGGCAAATCCCTTCTCCTCTCTCAACCTCAGTTTCCTCTTCTGTAAAAGGTTGGGGCTAGATTAGATGACTTCTGAGATCTGTGTCCTTTGAGTTAATTTGATAGAAAACTCTGCCAATGGAAAAGGCCTGAGGCCTTCCTTCAACAGCCAGATCATGAGTACATTTTCTCTTGTATGAATAAAGCAATTTGGGTTCTTATCTTCTGGAGATAATGGCTTTAGGGTCTAACCCCTAGGAGAGGCCCTAGGCCAGGAAGGTGGGAGTGGTGCAGTGGAGCTAGCCTGGGAGAAGTTTTGAGACAGATCATACTGTGCTGGTGTCTCCACACTCTTCTGGGGCCTAGGACTGACCCCTATCCATAAGATCTTCTGGGCTCTATAGACCAAACCACCTGGATGGTTGAGAGCAATTATCCAATCTAATCAGCATAGCCCGGGGGCAGGCCCTGGGCATCTTTGAGGGTCCAGAGTCTGCCCTTGTTTGGGACATTCTCTCCGTTTAGAAAAGAGCCCAGGCCATCTCCCTAGAGCCCTGCTGCCTTCCCTTCTTACTCGCAGCTATCCCATAGGACGCTACTCCAGCTTACTCACTATGTTCTAGTTTGTATTATTATAATTGCCTCTTGAGAGACAGCATTGTATAGTGGCAGTCCCTGGTCAGTCTTCTCTTGAAGCTACTTTGTATATAACACATTGGACTTTTATTTTGCATTTTTTTATGTTGTATTTATGTTGTATCCCCTGTAGAATGGAAAATGAGGGCATGGGGTTAACTTCCAATTTTTTTCTCCGTATTCCCAGCATCCCGCACAGTCTGGCACATAATAGGAGCTTAATAAATGTTAAATTGGATGTAATTGAATCTCTGCTTCTGCTGGATCGCCATCTTCCTGTCCCTGCCCTCAGCTGTCTTCTTTCTCATTCACCCTTGGTTTCAGGTATCACCTTTATGCAGGTGACTGCATATAAACTGGGTTCCAAATACAGCACTACCACTTATTAGCTCGGTAACTTTGAGAAAGTCACTTTATCCCTATAGGTCTCAGTCTTCTTTAGGGTGAAATGAGAGGATTAGGGGCGAGGATTCCTAAAGCCCCTTCAAATTGGATGATACTGTGAATCCTAAGATTCTCACATCTCTGCCTACAGCCCAGCCTCTCTTTGAAGCCCTAACCCACATTTCCACAGGATATTTCAACTTGGATGTCTCCCCTGTACCTCAAATATGTCCCAGACTGAATTCAGGATCTATCCTCTCAATCTGAGACTCTATCTAACTTGTCTCTGTTGCTGGCCCTACCATCTTCCTAGCCCCCAGGAATGAACCTTGTCACTTTAAATTCCTCACCCTGGACACATGTTTGGGGTCAGGCCTGACTCAGATCAGTCTGGTGGTTCAGGCTCAGAATTGGAATGAGACAAACATTTAATAAGAAAGTCCTTTTAATAGCAGGGAAAGGATACTCGGCAAAGAGACCATTAGGCGCAGTTCCTGGTCAGAATATGTTCACTTATGCAGCGGTGGGAAATCCGTCAAGTCTGAGGAGTACTGACTAACTGGAGGCTAGATTTTTAAGCCCTCCATCAGCAGATTGAGCCTTAGTCCCCTAGACTAAGTCTTAAAGATGGATTTATTGCCTTTTTAGGGAAAAACTAGCTTGTGTGGCAGGGCCCTTTTAGGCTTATTGCCGTGGGTCTCATCCAGATTAAATGTTGTTCCTATTGCAACATCCAAGCCCTATTTTTCTATTTCTGCCATATTGCATCCCTGTCTCTCCACTCCCCCTGCGGTTGTTGCTAATGCAAGCCTTTATCTCGGCTCTTCTGACTGTTGTAATAACCTGCTAACTGGTCTTCCCACCACTTGTCTCCTTTCTGTTTGATCCATCATCCACATAGCTACCAAATTAATTTTCCTAATGCAAGGGCCTGATCACTCCTCTATCCCAAAGTCTTCAATGGCTCCCCACTGATTGCCAAATAGAAGTGTAAACCCCTTAGCTTACTAGTCAGAGTCCCCGTCATCTGGTCTCAACCTACCTTTCCAGCCTTGTCTGTTACTATTTTTCTTTAGCTTTTCTCCCATCTGTCTAAACTGGACAACTTGCTCTTCCCCCATTCTCATCCTCCCCCCTCCTGGCTTTGTGCCCAGGATCATGCTACTGCCCCTTCCCCACCCCCGATCCCAGAATGGACTCCATGACTCCCTGCCAGGAGGGGATGCGTAGGCCTCACAGGATGTCAGAGCTGAAAAGGAGAAATCTATCTGGGATGCCTCTGTTTGGGCCCAGAGAGACTGCTCTTGTCCTTGGAGCCACTGCCCTGGGGAATATGCGAAATCCATACTCCTCCCCACTTTGACTTCTTTGTCTGATTGCCTTAGAGGTTCTGTCCTTCCCTTCCTCTCCCCTCCCTCTCAGCCTGGGTGTGTACCGTGTGTTTCCAGAGATCAGTCACCACTGATCCAGCCCCTCTCTTCTGATCCTTCCCCTTTTCCATTAGGATTCAGTGCGGCCGCTGACCTTCCCAGGAGCCGGCCTGATGCCCCATAGGGTTTCCCCGTCTGTCAGCAGATCTGTTCTTCTTCCTGGTTGTCAGAGTCAATATCTCCCCTTTAAAGTTGCAAAAAGTTCCCTTTTACTACTGGCCACCGTCTCCCCGGCTGCTTAGGCCTCACAGCCCACCTTGATGGGAGTGGGGGTGGAGGGTGTGTGTGTGTGTGTGTGTGTGTGTGTATGAGCTCATTTATAAGGACAATTGGCAGAAGCCAAGACTGGGCATACAAACTGAGTCCCTCCCCACATTTTTGCCATCCCCTAATATATTTTTCAAATTTTCCATTTTGGTTGGATTTCTCCATTGTTAGAATTCTTGTTATATTTATCTTCCTATGTCAACATTCATTCAAAAACACTTAAGAGCCTACTGTGCTGGGCACTAGAAGAGACAAGGTATAGCTAAGATGTGGGCCCTACCCTCCTAGAACCTAGAGTGCAGCAGGGGGAAAACAAATATAGGTAACTGCTCCAGAGAATTCCAAAACAAAGTGTTGTGTGAAGCCAGAGGGAAAAGACTTAAATTTATGTTTGGGGGGGGGGGCGAGGCAGATGGAGTTAAGTGACTTGAGGGCCACACAGCTAGTAAGTGTCAAGTGTCTGAGGTGAGTTTGAATTCAGGTCCTCCTGACTCCAGGGCTGGTGCTCTATCCACCTAGCTGCCCCAAAAAGATTTATTTATTAAGAAATACATGGGGGAATCAGGAAACACTTCCTGGAGGAGGTGGCATTTGAGGTGGGCTTTAAAGGATGGATAGAATTAGGCAATTGAAGGTGCAGTAGATGGAGGGCTGGGCCTGGAGTCAGGAAGACCTGAGTTCAAATCTGGCCTCCAATACTTGTTAGCTGTGAGACCTTGGGCAAGTCATTTTATTTCTGCCTTGGTTTCCTCAGTTGCAAAAATGGGGATAATGATACCTTTCAAGGTGGTTGTGCTGATGGAATGAGATATCTGTAAAGTGCCACCTGCCTGGAACATATTAGGTACTTAATAAATGGTTGTTTGCTTCCTTCCTTCTTTTTCCAAGGGCAGGGACTGTCTTATTCACATTTGTGTCATCGGCGCTTGGCAGGGAGTTCTGGACACAGGCACGGGGGAAGGCACTGAGAGAAGGACCTTTATACGGGGACCTTTCTCTTAACATTAGGGACTCCATTTCAGAGAAAGCAAGTCCAGTTCTTGGAATGGGAGCTCTCTCCCACCCCCCAGCCTGGTCCATGCTCCTGAGGCCTGCTGAAGATGAGAACAAGCCTCTGGTCTCTCCCAAGGCCAAAAGATTGCCCTGTTCCTCTCACGAGAGAAACAAATCACTCTGTTCTACACTCAAATCCAGTTGCATAATTTCAAAAGCAACAGTTATTTTCCTCTGGGTACAAAAAGCCTGTTACGTGCTGGGTTCAGGGAAATTGTTCCTTTTGAATTTTGAATTCTGTAACTCTTATATTCCTGAACCAAGCTTTCTTCTTCTCTCCTGTCCCCCATATTGTGAGCCAGAAGCTGCCTCGCTTCCTCCAAGGAGATATTGGAAAGGTCCCTTGCTGGCTTTAAGAGTCTACAGAGCAGGCCCATCTAGGTAATTCCCACAGGGATGGGAAAACTCTGCACAACTCAAACGCCATCTTCTCTAGCAAGCCTTTCCAGACATCCCCAGGCCTTCCAGAGCATTTTATTTTGACCTTTCCGATGCGATGTCATATGCTATTTTATACTATTATTGAGTGCTTGTATTCATCTCCCTGTTTACTGCAAGCTTGAAGACTCATCTAAACCAGGTATCTTTCCATAGAACACAGGCATAGTACGTGAGTGAATGAGGTAAGATCTTGAAGAAACTTCTTCTACCCTAGCACTTAGAGCTAGAAGGATCAGACTGAGATGGAAGGGTGCTTTGAGATCATCTCATCCAATATTCTTTTACACATGAAGAAAGGGGCCCAGAGAGGTCATTTGCCCACTGGCACACAGGTAGAATCTGAACCCAGATCTCTCCAACTCCAAATCAGGGATTCTTTCCATTCTAGGATATAGAAGCCCTAACACATAGATGAACAAGAGGCTGGTCTGGCTATATGCTAAGTCCCTGCTAATCTAGGTTTCTAGACACAGATTTCATTGCTGGCAAATGTGCCCTGAGCTGGGGAAATAGGAAAGAGAAGTTATAGATATTCCCGCCCCCCCCCACCCTTCCCCCCTCCCCCCCCCCCCATAGCAGCCTCCCCTCATGTCCGGGAAAATCGAGAACACAGTGGCTCATGGCCAGCCATTGGGTTTGGAACACCACTTTATTGATATGTCACCAGTAGTCACCACCTTCACTTGGTTCAGCACAAATATAAAGGACGGAACCAACACAGGTTCTGAGAGTCCCTCTCAGGCAACCAGATGGGGTGGCCAAGGGCTGGTGGGCAGAGGAGGGGTCCGGATACACTGGGGAGAGCCAGATGAACACCCTACTATGGGATCTGCCTGGAGCTGACCATCCTTTACCACTCTCTTCACAATCACTCACACACACATACACACACACACACACACATACACACACATCTATATTTGTATAGCCTTATATTATACATCTTATATATATATAAAATATATATTTATACTATACACAGGCAGTAATGCTGCAGGGAGGAGGAGAGGCAAGTAGGGGACACCCAGTTAGGACTATAGACACCCCAAGGATGCAGTCAGAGGGAGCAGGATTGGGAGGCAGAGGGAAAGGCGCCTATCCTCCCACAACTCGAAGTGGAGAGCATTGCCCCAAAGTGGCCCTTGAGGCCACCCTCTGTTTTCCGTGAAGGATTCTTGGACCCAGATTTAGCCAGAACCAGGGCAGAAAGGTAAGGTCTAAGGAAGGGAAAGGACTGGGGGCCCTTGGTGAGTTGGGGGAGGTCTGGGGGGCAGCAAGAACCTAGAAATAGTGTGAAAGTCAGGAAATAGGTGGGTGGGGGCAGGCTAGGAGGTAAAAACCTTGCACTCACATTGAAGAAAACAGATAGTTGCTATAAAGGCATCACAGTCCTGTCAAACAGAGCTGGGACCTACTAGAGGCACCCCAGGAAACCTACAAGTCTGGAGCCCCTCAGGGACCTCCTGGGAGCTAAGTGAGGGAGAAATCTAGGGTTAGGAAGAAGGGAGCTGTCAGTCAGCTGAGGCTGACTGCTTATAACAGCAGGGGTGGTCCACGTGGGGTTGGTTCTGATTGAATAGGGAGATCCTGGCTGGAGTTGGGGATGGGTGGGGGGGATGAGGAGTCGGAATCCAGCAAGGAGAGAAAATGATCACCCATAAGCATCACCTTCTTCCACCACGCCCCTCCCCCCCCACAAGCCCCCATCAGGTTGAGGGCAAACTTTAACTCAAAGGAACCGTCCCTCTTAGAGCTAGGAGGGCTGCCCCACAGGTCATCTGCTCCAGCACTTTGCCTTCAGGTAGGTAGGTAAGGTGGTACTCCTATTTTATAGATGAGGCAGCTGAGGCCCCCAGAGGCTAAGGGCTTTGTCCAGGGTCTCCTGGCCAGTAAGCAGTGTCAGGAGGATCACAGCCCAGGAATTCTGCCCCCAAGTACAAGGTTCCAGTGGCCTCACTGGAGGTGATCATGGGAAAGGATGTGTGTGGGGGAGTGCTGGGGTAGGAGTACCCCCTTGAATCTCTCACAGATGAACATCATTCTGAATGTTTTTCACACCAATTACCTCATTTGGACTTCACAATATTCCACGAGGTAAGGCAGACAGAAATCAAAACCCTTATTCTGCAGATGAGGAAACTGGACCTCAGAGAAGAGAATTGACTTGTCTGGTGAAGCAGAACAAATCCTGGTATCTAGCCCTCTCCTCACCTTTATCAAGCCTTTATACCCAGCCACTGTTGGAAGGCTTTTAGTGACAGAGGGCTCACTACCTTCCTGAAACAGACCATTCTCCTTTTAAACAGCTCTGTCCCTTCTATTGAGCCCAACTGTGCTTCCCTGTAATTTCCACTCATTGCTGCTAGTTAGCTTGTAAACCCACCAAATGTTAACATGTGAAAGACCTTAAAAGTCCCTCAGTCATCAGATCATCAATTTGGAGGCTGTCCAGTACAGCCTTGTCATTGTATAGGTGAGGAAGTGAAGGCTGAGATGGGGAAAAGGGTATCTCCAAGGCTAGCTAGTGTGGGGTCTGAACCCAAGTCTTCTGATTCTGAATCCCTTACTCTTTTCACTACTGCCCTTTAATGCCTCTTCCCTGTAATGGCTTTTTAGACACACAAAAAATGCTTCATTCTTTCCTAAGTTTTCTCTTCTCCCCAGTTCCTTCACCTGATCCAAATAGGACACAGTTTGCAGCCCCTTTCCCTCCTGGTCACCCTCTTCTACTGCCTATTCCATGACCTTTTCAGCCTTGGGAGGGGTGGGAGGTGGGGGGAGGCTGCAGCTGGATTCTGCTTAGAAGGGCTCCCCCACCTATGTTTAATGTTCCTTCCTGAGCAGCCTGGTTGCTAGAGAAAATCCATCCTCCAGTGAACCCTGTTGCTTCCCTGAGACAAGGGCCTATCTGTGGACTCTGGGACCAGAATGATCTGGAAAGAGCCAGCCAGCCCAGGCTTCCCTCCCCCCCTTCTCTACTTCGTCATATGCTGTGTGACATCAGGTACATTGCTCTGACTTCTCTGGGCCTCAGGTGCCTCCCTTGTGATTAGAAGCAATGGGAGTGTAGTATAAACAACACTGGGTTTTGGGTGGAGAAGCCAGGTTCCAATCCTGCCCATTAATGACCTTCCTGACCTCGGGAAAGTCACTCCTTTCTCTGTGCCTAAGGCTTCTCCTCCAATCTCCAAAAATTGGGTGAGGATGAGACAGACACTGGACACTTCTGAGAAGTCCAGGCACTCTGGGATGCTGGGACGGGACGGGTGAATCTACAAGCTCTTTGCTCTTAGACAGAAGGTGAGGGAGAGTGTGCAGCTGTCATTCAAGCCTCTCTATCAGGCCTCAACCTGCCTTTCCAAGCTTTTCTCCCCTTCCACCCCTCATTCCTTTTACTCCAGCAAAAGGCCTCATGTTCTCCAGTGAGAGGCAGTGTAGCCCAATGGATAGAGAGCCAGCCTCAGAGTCTAGAAGACCTGGGTTCAAATCCTATTTGTGACCGAGGGCAAATACTTAACTTCTCGGGGCCCAAGAAGTGCTCTCTGGCTAAGATGCAGAGTCAGTACATGTCTACATTTTCTCCTTCCCCCAGTGTAGGGGGAGGGACATCTTTACCAGTGAAATCACCAGTCCAACCCAATAACCCAATGTTCTATGTACACGTATGCCTTCCCTGCTCCTCCCCGACCCTGCCTTCTGTGGGATCTTGGTGAGGTCCATGAGGACAAGGCCCCTATCTTCCTCAGCTTGAATCTCACACTCAGTATCCAGTGCAAGGCTGAACCCAGGAAGGATGTTTTAGAAACTTTTGGTGAACGATTGATTGATTCAGAATCCAAGTGCTCGACACACCTAGCCTGTGTGTTGTCTGGCCATATAAAAGCCAGGCTGACTTGCACAAAACATGTGTGGGATGGCTTAAATAAGGCAGTGGGATAGACTTCTCTTTAGAAGGACCTTTCCAACCCTAGGCCTTTGAGACACAAAAAAATTGTTGGGTTGGATTTTTTGGGGGGAGTAGAGGAGGTGGATGAGGTTGGGGATTGGTGGAAGCATGGAATGGAGGAGGCTGCTCTGATTTTCCAGAGGGGAGGGATGTCCAGGCAGTATCCACCGTAGGATGCTGGGATCCACACCTGGGTCAATGCAGTTCAATGTAGGCCGAAGGAGCCAGGAACGTGCAGGGGGGATGAGCTCAGGACAAAAAGAGGAAGGGAGTTCTTTCAGGGGCGCTTATGCAGCATGGGAACAACTTAGCTGAGCTCTGAAGGGAGGTAGGAGAGTCCCTGTGTAGGCATCATTGGGCAGGAAACGTGATGTCCCTGTACCCTGGAGTTAGTGAGGCCAAGAAGGTGACCAGTGTCTTGGCTTTGATCTGGAAAGCACTGAGGCCAAGAGGACATGCAGATCAGCAGAGACCCCCCCGGAGCTGAGATGGACCCTGGCACTGGCACAAACCTGTTCTATCCCAGGCACAGAAAAACCTGTTAATCCTTCCCATCCGAGCCAAGTGGGACCCGAGAAAGGGTGATAATACTGAAAGGGCCCGCAGCACCAGGACTCTGGAGAAGGAGCCCAGGATCTGAGGGTAAAGGCTGTGATGGGGTTGGGAGTCAGACCTCAACCAATCTCTGAGCCAGAGGGACCTAGGAGGGCAGGCAAAAAGGCTGATACCTTCATTTTAGAGGTGGGGAAGCTCTTTAACCAAAGACTCAGGTCTTCTCACTCTTAAATCCAGTGCTTGACCCTTTCACCAGTGGAAGCCCTCCACACCTGCACTCCTGCACCAACTTGTAAACCCTGCTCTCCCACCCATCATATCCAAATATACTTACACTTTCTTAACTCCCTCAATCATTTCCACCTTCTGGTGAGTGTATTCATACACAGACACATTTGCATGTGCACACACACTGTGCACATACACACACACACAAACACACACTCCCTCCCAACCATACCATTCACCCCTAGGGGGGACACCGCCATTCTCTCCCTGGATGGTCAGCCCCCATGCCTGGATATTCTGTTGCTTTCTCCACCCTAGGACCCAGATGGAATTCAGAGACATTTCTAGTAAAATTTAAGAGGGGTAGGATACACGTACCTCAGCAAGATGGAAATATACTCCATTCAGCTAGAGGAAATGAGGGCAGGAATTGGAAGAGAAGAGTAAGTGTGGAGTTTGTATGTGCGTGAGTGTGTAACAGCTGGGGCTGGGGGCTTAGGACTGAGAAGGTAATGGGGGTGTCTTTCTTTGCCTCTGGACACTGAGGTGGAGAGGCCAAGGGGAGGTGGGTGTGGGGGCCAGAAGGGATTTGAGGAGGGGCCCATCACTGGCTTAGTACCCCTGTGTCTGGTAGCCCTGTGTCTCAGCATCAAAGGCGTTGGCAGGCTGCTGGTAGGAGCCGCCAATGTCAGGCCCAGCCTCCGGCTCACTGGCATAGGGGGCATAAGGCATGCTTGAATCCTGGCTTGGGTCCGTGTAGTCCTGGGAGAAGAGGGCTGAGTCGGCGCCGATCCGGTACCTCTGGAAGGCCAGCACCGCCTGGCCCACCTTGGGGAGGAGGTGGATGGCCAAAGGCAGGAGGGTGGGAGAGGGAACACCAGGGAGGGGAGGAGACACATAGACAAAAGCCAGGTTAGTCTGTGTTAATGGTTAGTACATGCACCATGCTACTCTGCAGGGTTAGTGCCCAAAACATAACCAGTTAGCACCTAATAGAGAGTGGAAATGACAGATAAGGAAGCCTGCCTTCTGGGAATGACCCACTGCAATCAACCAGCTTCCTGGTCAAGGGCAGTATTGCATGATGTCAGAAGCAACAGGTCAAGGAAGAATTGTAATCTCTCTCGACCGATTTCCTCATCTGTAAAATGGGCATGCTATTATTTAGGTTACTTTCTCTGAAGGATTGTTGTGAGGCGATTGTTCTGTTAAACCCGACCATGTTCTTCAAATGTGTCCTGTTGTTATAAATGTTCATCTCATCCTGAGAGAAGATTGAGAAGAGGCAGCCTCAGCATGATGGTTCTGTGGGCTCCCCTTTCATGCTGCCTGAGGGCAGAGGGGCCAAGGTCAGGAGATGCTCTTTCTGAGACAATAGGAATTTGTGGAGATTGATGGGAATTATCCCCCAGGACAAGCTTATCTATGAGAAGAGTCACACTTTGCTGCTGCAGCTGCTAAGAGGCATCATCCCTAGACCCTACAAGTCAGGGGGCTGGAAAGAAATTAGACTGGCCTTAAAGAAAATATCTAACAGTCTTTGTCACGACAAAGGGTTCCAGGCACTGAGGGTGCTGTCCCTGATAGCCCTGGGAAATGTGGCAAGTTCTGGGGGAAAAATGGATTTGGGGACTACCTAGTAAAGCCCCACATCAATCCCGCTGACTGGACAACCAGACCCAAAATGGTTTCTGTACCCGTAGGGCAAGCTGCCTGATGGCCAGAGATTGTTAAGGAAGACAGATGGCCTCTTGCTTGCCCAACTCAACTGGGAGGATCTTAGGAAGACCCAAAGAGATGCTGCTGGGGTTTTGTAGGCACAGGTATCATGAGTAACCTCCCTCCCTCCCAGCTAGGAGGCTCACCTAGAGCCAGACTTTGGCAGGAAGACTGGGGCAGGAAGGGGAGATGCTTCGGAGACTCTCAAAGCTCTCAGAAACATGGAAGAGCTGGACACCGAGCAGTGGCTGTGGCTGGGGGTGGGGATGGGAAGAGAGTGTGTGAATGGGAGAGGGGAGTCATGCTCCTGAGAGGTGGTCAGGATGCCCCAGAAAGGCAGAGCCTACACCACAGATACAAAAGAGGATCCCCTCATCACCCAACAAGAAAGTTACCATCAGATCGCCTGAAGGGACCAAGATTACTTAGCCTAGAGAAGAGAAAACCCAAAGGGGACGTGAGAAGACCAATCTATCCTATGGAAAAGGACCCAAGTGCTAGAGTGAGAAGCCGAGGATAGAACTCGTAGAGGGAGATCTGCCTAAGCCTTAGAGCTGGCTCCAAGAAGGACAGGTTGCCTCAGGACATGGTAAGCTTCCCGTTGCCCAAGATTCCCAAGGAAAGCCTATGATGCTGCAGAAGGAATTTCTTCAGGATCACCTGTGAGGAGGCTCAGAGATGCCCTGGCTGACCATGGCTCATCTTCCCCTAGATCCCCTTTCCTTCATCCAGAGGGCATTCTCTCTCTTTCTATGTCTTAGCCCCCTCCCAGGTGTAAGCTCCCTAAAGGCCCAAAGAGATCACATCCTGCCTCTCCCCCAGCCCCCACCCTTCACACAGGGCAGCTTGTGTGGGCAGGGATGGTAAATCACTACTATCAATCAGTGATGAAAGCCCCCACTGTGGAAGAGTCCCTGAGTGCGGGACGTTTGCTGTTGTCATTCTGAAGGGAAGCATTTCCCCCACCCCCAGATGACTAAACCGAAGACTAAAGGGAAGAGGTGTCAGTGATAGGACAAAGGGATCCTTTAGATCCTGGTCAGGGACACTGATCTCAGCATAACACCCATGTAAGAGGAGTCATGGAGATTCTGGTATATGAAAAGTGAGTTCGCCCAGGAGGGAAGGAGGATCTGCACAGAGTGCAGGCAAAGAAGAGCTGGAGAAGGAGAAGGTATCAAACGTTTATCCAACACTGTCCAGGGTAGAGGGGGCTCTGGCCCACCCACCCAGGGATGGCTGATAGGCATGAACAGATGGCTCACAGTGCCTCAGGCTACTGAGACTGAGGAGCTCCCAGGTGTGGCACCTAACTCCCTCACTGACTCCCTCCCTCTCAGCTCTGATCTGAATTGCCTCTCCCAAATAGATCCTCCTGTTGGGAAGAGGATGTGTCGACCAGCCGTCACACATATTTTAACCTGCTTGGCCCTTCTGTTGATCTACAAAAATGGACAGAATGGTCCTCTGGTCTTTCTTGGAATTTAGTCATTGTGAATCCACTCTCCAGAGCTTGATCATGCCTTGGAGAGCTAAGGAAAGTGAATCCTTTAATTAGCAGGGATGGGTGCTCAACCCTTAACCCCACCAAAGTGCAGGTATGGACACCCTGTATGTCAGGCTCAGGGTTGAAAGGAGCAAGTCAACTTCTCTCTGACCCATCTTTGTTATGACTTCTGCCCCTGCCCTTCCCCTGCACATGCCAACCCCCTCTCCCCTCCAACCCCAAGCCAGGGACACAGAGGTCTGTGTAATAAGAGCCACAGTGGCTGTCCTAGGGCCTGGGGAGGTCAGGCAGCTGTGGGGAGAGGCATTATGACTGAGGTGGAGGAGGTGTGGGGAAGAGCGAGCTGTACTCCTCCTGAAAGGTGATATCCTTGAGTCTCCGGGAGGCCAGGATCCCAAGCATGCTCTGTAAGGAGAGAGCAAGGTTCAGTGGGTGGGCAAAGAGCCTCTAGTTCAAGGCCCCATTTTTACAGATGCTGAAATGAAGACCCAACAGAAGGCAAATGAACTGTCCAAAGTCCCTCAGGGAATAAATGGTAGTGCCAGGATTCAACTGCAGGTCCTCAGCCTTCATATGCGGGACTCCTTCCACTGTCCCCCAATGCCTGCCTGCTTAGTTGCAGGATAGAATGTCCTTGGCCCAGGGCAGGGAAGGGACTTGCCTAAGATCTTATAGGAAGTACTCATCCAAAACAAGAGGGAGACCCAGGTCTTCTGCCCCTGGCTCATGTGTCCGTCCGTCCGTCCTTCCTTCCTTCCTTCCTTCCTTCCTTCCTTCCTTCCTTCCTTCC